CCAAGTTCATTATCTTGAGATCTTGTGCCAAGCTGATTTCCCTTTGTGGTCAATGGGTAGAGGAAAACACCTCCTGAATTACTGAACCATGGTGGTTTAATGGGAAGGCCACATAATGTTAAAGTGAAAAGAAGAGAATTTTCTCTGCAAATATCTACTTGAAGATACTCTGCTGAAAAGCAGAGATATTTCAGGAACAACTACCACTTCAACTCCAGTATGCATGCACATGTATATGTACATATACACATGTGTCTGTATTTTGGTAAGTTGTATTACATCAATCAATGCTCATACCAACCAAATGCTTCAACATTTTCAAAAGGCTTCCACAAACATTGTACCAGTTGACTTACAGAAAGGAGACAAATTTTGCACAAATGAATAATTTAAGGTTTGAAGAGAATAGTAGGCTCTGGACTGCACTCATTCAATGCAGGACAGATATTTGAGTCCAGGTCAACAAATACCAAATCTGTCCCCCAGTACCTAAGTCGGTCCAGTGACAACTGTAAACTCCCGCTGTACACATTTTCTTCTTCCATTTTTCTAGTCTCCATGTGTTGTTAGCTCACACATTTGTAATGTACATGTTAGGGAATGTAGCAAGGAAAAGCAGTGTGGGAGAATATATTTGTAAACAACTCATGTGATAAGGGATTAACATCCAAAATATATAAAGAACTCATGCCTCAACACCCAAAACACAAATAACCCGGACAAAAAGTGGGCAGAGGACCTGAACAGACATCTTCCAAAGTAGGAATACAGATGGCCAATAGGTGCATGAAAAGATGCTCCACATTGTTAATCACCAGCCAAATGCAAATAAAAACCACAATAAGATATCACCTCACATGGGTAGAATGACTACTATCCAAAAGACAAGAAATAACAAGTTTTGGTAAGGATTTTGAGAAAAGGAAAATAAATTTGTGCAGCCACTGTGGAAAGCAGCATGGAGGTTTCTCAAAAAACTAAAAATAGAAATATATTACCCAGTAATTCTACTTCTAGGAATTTACCGAAAGAAAACAAAATCTGTGATTTGAAAAGATATAGGCACCCCTAAGTTTACTGCCACATAATTTACAATAGCCAAGATATGGGAGCAAACTTAGTGTCCATCAGTCGATGAATGGATAAAGATGTGGTACATATACACAATGGGATATTATTCAGCCATCGAAAGACAGAAATCCTTCCATTTGCAACAACATGGATGGATCTAGAGGGTATAATGCTAAGTGAAATAAGCCAGGCAGAGAAAGAAAAATACCATATGATTTCACTAATTTGTGGACTCAAAAAACAAAACAAAATGAATGAAATAGCAGTAGACCCCTAGACAATGAGAGGTGACTGGCGGTTTACCATCGGGGAGAGGTTAGAATAGGCAGGTAGGGGAGGTGAGGGAGATAAAGGGGAACAAAAACTCTCAATCATAATATAAGTTGGTCATGGCATGGTAATACAGCATGGCGAATATAGCCAATGATTCTATAACATCTTCCTAGGTTGACAGACAGTAACTATACTAGTTGTTGGAGTGGTGGGGGTGAGGATTTAATAATATGGGTAACTGTTGAACTACTGTGTTGTGTACTTGAAAGCAATATAGGATTTTATATCAACTGCACTTCAAAAAAAAGATAACATCTAGTGTATCAAATTGATTATTCTAAGCTTGAAACAAATTATTAATATTCAAATTCACGTAGTATGTATCACTAATGTCATCATTTTCTACAAAATGAAAAATGGAACAGTAAAAGTGAGCACATGTACAATCATTCATTTTAAAAGGTCGAATTTAGTTATTAAAACCAGTGAAAGCACATGTCTATATATTTAACCTTCAAGCCCCTACTCAAGTTTCATCCCTCCCTTGCTGACTCTGTATATTTACTAAATAGGAATTATCTTCATGCTCCCAAACCTTTAATAGACTTAAAAAGAGTTTTAGGATTTTTAATATAAACTAATAAATAACTTACATAGATTAAGTCTTTATTTTTACAAAAATACAGGGTTTTACTCCAATTCTGTTTGTAACATGATTTGTAGTCTCTCCAATAAGTGTGTTGACTATTTTTTTTATGTCCTTACTCTTCTATAAACCTCTTTTCTTATGAAAACATTTCAATGATTTAATTTTCAAAATTAGCAATTTTTCTGAATATAGTAAAAGTAACCATGTGAAAACATCAGAAAACTAAGTCAAAATATGAAAATTATGGAAACACCAAAGACCTCGAATAGCCAAAGCAATCCTGAGAAGGAAGAATAAAGTGGGGGGAATCTCGCTCCCCTACTTCAAGCTCTACTACAAAGCCACAGTTATCAAGACAATTTGGTACTGGCACAAGAACAGAGCCACAGACCAGTGGATCAGATTAGAGACTCCAGACATTAACCCATACATATATGGTCAATTAATATATGATAAAGGAGCCATGGACATACAATGGGGAAATGACAGTCTCTTCAACAGATGGTACTGGCAAAACTGGACAGCTACATGTAAGAGAATGAAACTGGATCACTGTCTAACTCCATAAACAAAAGTAAATTTGAAATGGATCAAAGACCTGAATGTAAGTCATGAAACCATAAAACTCTTAGAAAAAAACATAGGCAAAAATCTCTTGGACATAAACATTAGCAACTTCTTCATGAACATATCTACCCAGGCAAGGAAAACAGAAGCAAAAATGAACAAGTGGGACTACATCAAGCTTAAAAGCTTCTGTACAGCAATGGACACCATCAATAGAACAAAAAGACATCCTACAGTATGGGAGAATACATTCGTAAATGACAGATCCGATGAAGGCTTGACATCCAAAATATATAAAGAGCTCACACACCTCAACAAACAAAAAGCAAATAATCCAATTAAAAAATGGGCATAGGAGCTGAGCAGACAGTTCTCCAAAGAAGAAATTCAGATGGCCAACAGACACATGAAAAGATGTTCCACATCGCTAGTTATCAGAGAAATGCAAATTAAAACCACAATGAGATATCACCTCACACCAGTAAGGATGGCTACCATCTGAAAGACAAACAACAACAAATGTTGGTGAGGTTGTGGAGAAAGGGGAACCCTCCTACACTGCTGGTGGGAATATAAATTATTTCAACCATTGTGGAAAGCAGTATGGAGGTTCCTCAAAATGCTCAAAATAGACATACCATTTTACCCAGGAATTCCACTTCTAGGAATTTACCCTAAGAATGCAGCCGCCCAATTTGAAAAAGACAGATGTACCCTTATGTTTATTGCAGCACTATTTAGAATAGCCAAGAAATGGGAGCAACCTAAGTGTCCATCAGTATCCAGAATTGATAAAGAAGATGTGGTACATATACACAATGGAATATTATTCAGCCATAAGAAAATAACAAATCCTACCATTTGCAACAACATGGATGGAGCTAGAGGGTATTATGCTCAGTGAAATAAGCCAGGTGGAGAAAGACAAATACCAAATGATTTCACTCATACATGGAGTATAAGAGCAAAGAAAAACTGAAGGAACAAAACAGCAGCAGAATCACAGAACCCAAGAATGGACTAACAGTTACCAAAGGGAAAGGAACTGGGGAGAATGGGAGGCAAGGGAGGGGTAAGGGCAGGGAAGATGAAAGGGAGTATTACGATTAGCATGTATAATGTGTCAGGGTGGGGTGATGGGGAGGGCTGTGTAACACAGAGAAGACAAGAGGTGATTCTACAACATCTTACTACACTGATGGACAGTGACTCTAATGGGGTTTGTGGGGGGACTTAGTGAAGGGGGACCCTAGTAAACATAATGTTAATGTAACTGTAGATTAATGATAACAGCAACAAAAAAGAATAGACCTGTTCCTTCTTTCATGTCATAATTGTTCTTCTAAAGCATCTATTTTAGTAGTTTCATAGAATTTCACTATTTGGAAAAAATCTATTTTATAAATTCTATGCAATCATATATTTGGGCTGTTTATCATTTTCATTGCTACAAAAACAGACTATGAAAAAACAAAAACATATTTTGTTTAAATATTTTCAGACTTTCCTAATTATTTCCTTATATTAAATCACCAGATATAGAACTGTGTCAAAAGGAAGGATAACATATTTGATAAGTAGACTGACTACTTATTATATGTTCCTTGTGCATATATCTATATTTTAATTGCATTTGCTCTATTAGCTATTCAGTTTGAATCTGTGGACAGAAGAGATTCTATATGAATTATACTAAGATATGCGTATAAGCCTAGTACATAGGTCTGAAAAGTATAAAAAAGATTCTTAAATCTTATATAGTATAGCTCTTCCATTCCCTAAATCTATAGCCTGTTATTCCATTCGGCCCACAAAAGTTACATATTATGTGTCTGGGTGATACATACATTTTGGCTTATGGATTCATGAAAGTACAGATTCAATGAGGATCATAACTAGAATCTGTGCAGCAAAAGGTTATATTTGATCCTTACTTCTGATATCTTCTAATCTGAAACCCAGAAGTCAAGGGGTCTTTTGAGTTACTGGATTACCAGCCCACATTACTTTGGAAGGGACAGACTTTGGGATCCTCAAGGGTAACTCAGCCTTAGGTATCTGCCATTGAGAAGGCTACAGAAAAAGGTGCCAGTTTGAAATGCTTAATAATGAATCTGTTCCCACTTTGGTCAATTCTAGACATAGTCATTCCTCCTTACTCACAGATACTATCAGGTTTCATCTATTCTACTTGTAGTTCAGGCATTTTGACAGTTGAGAAGGAAACCCATCCATAGTTACCTGTTCTCCCATTTAAAGTTAAGAAGAAAAGAAAAATGCATTGACTTATAAAGCACTACAGAATTTTAAAACCATAGTATTTTAAAGAAATGCAACAGCTCAGTATTGAGATGGTAAAGGTTTGATGAAGGCACTTCAAGAACTCTGTGGGTAAGAGTCGACAAAATGCACACATTTTGTCCTGGAGAAGTGTACTCACCTGGAGCCAAAGCCCCTCACTGCCTTCACTGCTGGTGCCGACATGCTGTCTGTCAGTCAGACGCCGGTAACTGGAATATCAAGGGCCAGGAACCGCTTGCTTTTTATTCCTACCTGGAACAAAATACAGTGTCAGTCATTGTTTTTTTGTGTGTGTTCCTTGAAGCAGAGGAAGATATTCATTATGTTATCTTTCCCTGTCACATTAGACACCCATTTATCAGAATGCTCAACACAAAGGAAAGCAGCATAAACTCTTCACCTCTATAATTCAGGCTTCAGTGATTAATATAGCACCTGTGTAAGTCAAAGCAACCATCTATATTTTATCTCCTTTAAAAGGTTCCTTATAAAAGCTTATTATTTCATTGCAATTGTTCCTATGCATTTGGTTTGATATGTTAATTTAGGAAGCCATTTTCTGTATATTGTCCTTGGAGACTATAAATCAAAATATATTTTTAAACCCAGAAAGAGGCCAATGTTGAAAACATATCATTTTCTGATTTTTGCTTTTCCCCGGCCTTGCAAAGGAATCTCATAGCAGGCAATTTGGTAATGCAATTCTGTTAATGTGTTGCCTGCTCTGTTTTATACTCTTCAACTTGAGAGACACTGATGAAACAGTGACGCTTCCTCAAACGCACTGGAGTGTGGATGCTATGGAACACAAGATGGAATTAGACATTTCGGCCACATAATGAAATCACTGACTTGAAGAAGAAGAAGAAGAAGAGAAAAAACCCTCAAGGGAGGTTGCCTGTGTGAGTGTATGAATGGAATGTGTTAGGATCTCTCACTTCCTGCAGTAGGAGCCACTTGACCTTCAGCCTGGCTTCAAGCTGGAACCCAACAGGATGACTTAAGGAAACATGCAAGTCAGGCAGCATTCTGCCAGTTTTGTTGCCATTTGTCCAGCCAGAACTTGTCCTGCCTTCACTGCCTTCCCAGGGATCTGGAGCTCGGCTCTGAAATGAATCTTAGGGCGGGGAGCCTGCCATTTGCCAGTCTTCCCTCTAATACTCACTGCCTACCTGAACCCTCAGACCAAGCTGATGCGTGCCCCTGTTTGGTCCACCTGCCAGGACCAAACTTACCACTTTTATTTCTCTCTGACCTCCTGCTGTACACACTTGGCCTTAATCCCTTGTTGGAATCACCACGTGATGCTGGCACCACCCCCCAGGAATGAATGTGGCTACAGGTACTGCCTGCACACCCAGTGACGTCTACCACACCTCCCAGCCCTCACTTCCTGTTTGGTGTCAGGTTAAGGACCATTTAGTTGCCCCATGTTGCTATTATTTTAGTTTAGGAGTTTTTCTAGGCAGTAAAAGCCCATGAAAGGCCCGCTTGACTTCCTCTGTAGAACTCAGATCTTAAGAGCTAATATTGTTCTTGCCTTGTAGCCCTCTTAAAATTCTGATGTCTCTCATATCACCCTGGAATCCAACTTAATGCTTTTATTTCTCCTGCTACTACCATAATAAACTTTCATTAGCTCTCACTTAGCGAAGAACAATAACTTCTTAAATGTTGATCTGATGCTGAAAACAGATGGCACTTTCAAATTAGAATAATTTGAGGAGAGTTTAATAAAGACCCTTTAACAAAACGATGGGCTGTTTGCAAGCAAACCACACAGGAAGGGTAGAGCTGTTATCTTCCCTAGACCTGCAGGGACAAGGAGAAAAAGCAGTTACTGAGCAGCACCCAGGAATCAGAAAGGGCCTCCTGAACAGAAGCCAAGTCGTCTTTGCTTGGATTCCCAGGTAGCACACGAGAACAGAAGGAAGGGGGCCCTAGGTTCCCACACTCTGATCTTCCTCCCCTCTGGTTCCCAGCCTATACTGCCTGTGGGACAGGCCATACTGAACTTCCAAGTGTGCGGGAACCTCTTGATGAGCTCTGTCCAGGCCGGTTTCCAGTGTTAGAGAGCAGGATGGAAAATGACAAAGGTAACAAACAGGTCTGAAATAACAGAAGAGATCCAGCAAACATGTGTTCATACCCCGGAGCATGGAACTTGGAATCAGATGTAGGTGTGAGTACTAGCTATACCTACTTGTGTAACTCCAGATACATCATTTTATAATTATTGGTATCATTACCTGTGCACTGCAAAACTTCTGAGTTTTGTTGTTAGGATTAAATGGAATAATGTACTTAGTATTTAGTACTAGCAACTGTGGCAGTAACTTGTCTCAAAATACCAAAATAAATCAAATGCAAACATACTCCAGTCATGCTTAATCATTCAACCCTTGTAATAGTCTATTTTCAAATCTGACTTTCATAAGTGTTATTCCTTTTGCTTAAGAGTAATTCCCATCTTCCACCCCACCCCATCCCACCCCATCCCAACCCCTGTTAACCTAAAAAATTTCTATTCATTTCAAAATCCACAGCGTGATCTGAGGATGTCTCAGGAAAAGGGGATTATTTGATTTGTATTTTCCATGGCACATGGTACGGCACAGAGCGATTAGACAATGCCCTCTTCCTGCTTGACTCTGAGTTCCTTGAGGGAGAAGGAAGGTCATGACTGATGGATTTGCATCCTAAGAAGGTGGGTCATTGCCAGGTTCTTAGTGATACTCAATAAACATGAATAAATTAATTACTAAAATCATTCTGTTACACTGTAAGGAAGAGGTTCAGTAACCTTCTCTGCCCAAACGGCAGATCAAACTGTAACAAATGGCATATGGTGGGGAGTAAGACTGTCATAGGAAGTCAAGAACACTGAACACTGTACAGAGGGAAATCCAAGCAATTGTGAAGTTTTTCCTGAGACAGCATTGCTGGAAAATTCACCTCAATCATTTCAAGGCTGACAGAAGTACTAGATCTAATTGATTCCAAGCAGACCATTAATAAGCTATAAACCAACTAGGTAAGTGGCTATAAACACCTGTATTTATCTGATGCATTTGAGTGATAAACTATTTGAGTTGTCAACTTTTTCTCACTGACTAAGCCAAAGTTCCCCCTACAATTAAAACATTTTTCTTCTGAATAGGTAATAAATGTGCATGTAGGCCTCATAAATGGTATAAAGGACAAAATCTTACTCCAAACCCTGTCTCCATTCTTTCCTCTTGCCACAGAAGACCACATTTATTGGTGTGTTTGTGTACTAGCAAAATTTTCTTCTGCAAATGCAAATATGTATATTATTCCTTCTGCCCCTTTCAAAAAAGAATTTCATATTTTACCCACTAATATGGGTCTTGCTTTCCCATACCCCAAAATAATTTAGAGGGCTTTTGGATCAATAAATAGCATCTTTATTATATTCAGCTTCAAGTCTGTTGTACTGATATACTGTAAATTATTCAACCATAGTCCTTCCAAATTTTTATTTTTTCAGAACTTTTGCTATATAAGGCTATAATAAAAAAATTGTATATGTAAATTAGTATCTAATTAGAGGCACATGTCTATGATAAATACCTATGAGTGTGTGGAGGGAGGCCAAAGGTAAATTCATTTGTAAATTTCAAATATACTACCAAATATCCCTCCTAGAGATTTGAGCTGATTAATGCTCTCAAGAGCAATCTGTAAGACTGCTTGGGTGGGCAGACTTTATATTACCAAAAATCCAAGACGTGAGATATTGTATCTAAGTGTTATTTTCCATTTTAAAAAGTGAGATAGGTTTAGTATCTCTTGCTGACATTTAAGAGATATTGCTTATCTTTTTGTGTGAAATTTCTATTAATATCCTTTGCCATTTTTTAATTGCAACTACAATTTAACATTTTTATCCTAAGTATTTTCAAAAGGAAGTAAATAATGAAGAGCATCAGCAAAATATTTCTTTAGGCTCTTTTTAAAATACTGTTTTTCAAGCTTTTGTCCCCAAACTTGCAATCCTATACTAGAAAGCCGAATGTCATTACCAAAGGTACCACAGTGCCCTCTGGTGGCAAACTGCTCCATCGCATCTTCTCTTCATTAACTCGGGGTAAAATCTGTTTTTTCAGTAGAGAAAGCTCAGTATCAGAGCCTTGCTTAGCCTCTAAGCTTGGTCCAAATCTCTTCAACCCTGAGACAATATAGAACTACACCCACCCTGAAAACGAGCAGGTATTAAACCTACTTCAGCCTCCAAGGAACCAGGTTTGGGCCTATAAATTGGTGAGTATTTGAACAGGCAGGATTAATTTATTTTCCCGTCGGCTGTAAAAGCAGCTTTGCAGTGTCTTGTCAGTGGGATACAGTTCAGGCTTGTTCCTTGGAGTCAGGCTTTGCTTCAACTTCCCTGTACATCCCTGAAATCGAGGGAGCTATTATCTTCCTCCAGAAATCAAATAATGAAAGTATCATAAAATCAGCTCAATCAAAAGCCTAAGATTTTTCATTCCACAAGCATTTGGAATACTATGTGCAGTGTTCTAGGTGCTTGTGATTTTTTTTCCAGTGACAAGATGGACAAATCTTTTTGGAGCATATTTTCTAGTCGGAAACAAAAAAACAGGAAAAGTGTAAGTAAGCAAATAGGCTTATATTAGAAGAGATTTGTATGTTGGGAAGGGACATATTTCAATTTAAACGAGAGAAAGGGTATGCCTCTTTGAGAGGCTAGCATCCGAGCAAGGATTTGAAGAAGCCATGAAAACTATGTGTGTCCCAGGAAGACTAGCATTTTAGGACATTGAAGTCATCTGAAGGCCACAGCATACTCGATAAACACTTTCAGGACACCTGAAAGATGCCCTTTCAGGATTAACAGATCTTTTTTCCCACAGCTGGGAGTTCTACCAACTGTCATCTCCAGCTTGAATCCCACTCTGAAACTGCCCTAAACTGGCCATACTGCCTCAAATCCTCATTCAAAGACTGGTGGCAGCCCGCACACAGTCGCAGACAGAGTGTGAAGGCCTGGCCCATTGCCACTGTTTGGAAAACTTTCTGTGGTGTTGGCTGAGGCCTTTGCTGAAGCTGCACGGCAGCCCATTGTCTCTGCTCATTCCTGCTTTCTTCCCGTTCGGAGATGCTGATCCCAGCACACTCCCTGTAAACATGCACTCTAATGCCTCTCTCATTCCGCTCATCTGAGGAGCAAAACGTTATCCAGTGTGCAGCTAAAGCTTTGATTACCTACT